GTTCACAACACATTAATATAAATATATAAGTGAAAATAAAATTATCAATAGTAAAACAAATAAATCACACATCTAAATCATTTAAACATTCTTTAACAACACTCTAATTTTAAAAAAAATCAAATTGTCAACCTACATTTTAAGTAGTAAATAATTATAATGAAAAACTGATTAAAAAATGTTAAAAGGTTATCAGTAGGTTACATATCGATCAACGCACCTCTAACATGGTAGTTTAAATTGTGAATTAAGTAAGTTGGGTTTAATTTTATCATATTTAAACAAATTATGTTTTTTTTTCAAGTTAACCCAACTTGAACCTAGGATAACTTAGATTGACTCATAGGTTTGAACCCATTTTGACACCTTTAAAACTTATACTAGTATGATGAGAAAATTTGTGAAGTAAAAAAATATAATTATATATAAAAAATAATGAAAATGGTGTAGTGATTTTAAACATTAACTAATGCTAATAATCACTCGATTATAATTTTAAAATATATTAGGTTTAATTTAATAACAGGTCAAAATGAACCATCAACTTTGTCATAATTTATTACTCTACTTCAATTTCTAATCAAAATAAAGGTGAAGTAGCTTGATTATTTGTTGGGAGATAGATAATTGCACTCTTCACAATATCATACAAAAATCATGCTATAAAGAAACAAAAGTAAACCAAAAAAAGGGTGAAGATAATGTAAACTCAAAAATACAAAAAAATGCATTTTCTGCATTCAAGCGAGGAAAATTTCTTACTTGTTCTTGATATGCAAAGTCTTATCACATACCTTAACTTTTACTCGTTAGAGTTCATTCTTGACACTTGGAAGAAAGGTAACCTGTGTATGAACTCATCAATTGATGGATCAAAATATAAAATAAACTATCCCTTTTCGTGTNAACCGTTATCACATTAAACAGTTATGTGATTACCCAACTAATTAAGACTATTAAAGAACAATTTAGTGGTTCTGAATGCAAACGCTATAGAAATAAACATGAATGAAATTTTGACCAATTGAAAGAAAAACACAAAGGTGACTGGATGAAATATGAGATGAATATGTTGTTGGGGTTTAGATTTCACCAAGTTTCCTCTCATGCATGTATGAATTTGTCTTCTTCATTAATGTTAATATCACTTTCTAAATTACTTAAAACCCGATGTCTCGATGAAGAAAGTCTATCCTTAATTACTAGTTTACAATGTATTGTCTCCCTAGCAATTAATTCTGCATTATAAACGCACATAAACTTAAGATAACCAAAACTCATACCTCTATGTCTAGGCAATACTGCTTTTGGGAGAAATTCTCAAGATCTAGGTTTCCCCTATGTGTCCATATCACAAAAACAAATAATCATGCCATGAATGATTTAAACATAACAAGCATTGAGCAAAGAATAACAACCCTAACAATTAATAAAAGAAGCATAAAAATATTAGAATCAATTCAAATACATGAGAGTTCACAAGGTTACTAATAACAGTTGAATTTACTGTTATTTGATACTAAAAACACCCTTTTTTACTTAGAAACTAGCTTGAAATCATGGTTTTGATGAATAAGAGAGTTGAAGGTGAATTTTATGGCTTTGTGCTAGATTTCAGTGTTTTCAACAAGAATTAAGATGATTTGGAAGAAGAGTTGAAAGTAGTAAAGAGTTGGAACTCAGGAAGAGATTGAAAAGAATAAAAGAAAGGACCGCAGCAGCGTTGAGCGCCACTTTAGGGGCCCTCAGTACCAGAGTACGTTGTCTCACGCTTGGCTACCTTTTTCTGGATGAGGGAACTGTGCAATTGAAAGACCAAGATGAAGAGGTAACTTTTAATGTCTTTGATAAGGTGCAACCAATACAAGTAACAAAGACTAGTCTAAAAGCTAAAGACGAAGTTCTATCAGTGACTAGTCTACTTGATAAAGCTGTCAAGTCGGTCAAGAGGAATCATAGTTGTTGCTTTCCAAGGTTGAAGGAAGATGATGGAGATAAGGAAGAAAAACTCGTTCACCATGACTCTGTGATGGAAAATAATGAACCCTACCTTGGCAAACCAGTGAAATTCAAGAACAAGTTATGGGTTATCAAGGATATAAAGGCAAATGGAGTTCTTGAGATTGAGGCTCCTTACTCTAGAAGAGTCAAGTTGGTGACAAGAAAGATGCTGAGATTATGCTGGTGTCATGAAAGGAAGAAGCACATTAACATTGAAAATCAAACTCGAGCTTTATTGGGTCAAGCTAGTGACGTTAAAGAAACGCTTACTGGGAGGCAACCCAGTTTTCTAAACTTATCGTTTTAATTTATGTTCATCTTTATGTTATTAGTATAGGATTTGATGTACTTTGGCTTAGACTTTATTTGTGTGCAATGGTTTGATGATGATGATGTTTATGATGAGTGTTGCTTCATGACGTTGATTACATTGATTGATGTTGAGATGATGCATGATGCTGATATACAGGTGGTTGCTCATAATATTGGGAAATAAATGCATGATGATTTGTGATTGTGTTACTGAGCAGGATGTTTATCTGAATTGTGGAACTTGAATTAGCTTATGTGAGGATTGGACTCCAGAGTTTTTGTGAATAATTGCTATTACTTTGAAAGCATGAATGACTTTGCCCAAGTTTCTATGATTGAATCACTTGTTTGTATGTTTCATATGATCAAGGTCATCTGTTGTTATCCCTTTTTAGCCAATGCATGATTTTTAGCCCAATAAAAGAGAGCACAATGTGTTTTACCCTTTGAACCTGTAGCCTTATACAGGATATGAAAACCCCTTTTGAAAATCTTTACCTTGAGTTAAGTTAACAATATTTTGTGTGGTATTGATAAAGGTTCAAGTTTGGGGTTGTTGGGAAATTTGGAAAAGAAAATAAGATTGAGCTAGGTCTTGAGCAAATGAAAAAGAAAAAGAAAAACAAAAGAAAAGAAAGAAAAGAAAGAAAAGAAAGAAAAGAAAGAAAAGAAAAGCTCAATGCAAGGGAAAGTTGGGAAGAAGTGAGAATGGTTTCTTGAAAAGTGAGAGAGTGTGTTTAAATGATGAATTTATGAATGATTCTCTTAACTCAAGGATTTTGTGATCCGGAAAAACCAATTTTCTTCTTAGCCCAACCACATTACAAGCCATAGAAAAGCCCTTGTGATGATACTTGCTTGTGAGTGTGTTTGATTGTGGTTAAATGAAAGGCAAAGTTAATTCATGTGACATTGTGAACGTACGGGGAAATCTAGATCCGGGGAATTTCTCCCAATAGCATATTGGTTGCCGTTAAGCTTCTGCACTTCAGAATTAATTATTAGGGATGCTAGGAATTGTATGAACTCGTAATTAAGGATAGACCTTCTTGCAAGGTGATTTAGAGAGTGACATTAGCAATAGATGAAAAGAATGATGAATTCCTAAAAGTATATGAGAGTGGATAAGATGAAATTGATAACCCCAACAACATACGGATCCATCTAACTCATTAAAGTGTTTGTATTCCTCTTTTCCATTGATCAAATTCATGCATACATGTTTAATTATTGTCTTTTGCATTTAAACCTACAATCAATTGTTCACAAGTATTAAATAATCAACAAATCATATAACTAACTAGGCTGTGAGTCCTTTGGGAAAACTATACTTAGTCTTACCTAATTTTATTACTTGATACGATTCGGTCACACTTGCCGATTATTAAACAAGTTTTTGACGTCGTTTTTCGGTGTTCATAAATTTGTCATCAGATGTTACATTGTTTAACAAGATACATGGCTTAAAATTATTATTTGACTTCTCGATAAATAATTTTTTGACTTCTTGTTGAATTATTATTAATCAAGACATGACTTAAAATTGATTATTTGACTTTTCGTTGAATACAGTGCAATCAAAACAATAATTTTTAATTTTAGAAAGAAAAAAAAAAGACAAATGTTATAAGAACCAAAACCAAAACTACTAATTACAAAAAAAATAGTCATTCTAGTTCTAAAAATGAGTTAACTCAACAATTTATTTATTGATAGATTAGAAATTTTATAATCTAACTTATTTATCACGAGTTAATTGATTAAGTAAATTGACTCACTTAAGTTTGATTTCATTTTTCAACTTATTTTATATATTTATTGTATTACAACTAAAGTAAATTAACCTTACTCATCTATTCCTAACTGTACAATCAGAATGTTCACAACACATTAATATAAATATATAAGTGAAAATAAAATTATCAATAGTAAAACAAATAAATCACACATCTAAATCATTTAAACATTCTTTAACAACACTCTAATTTTAAAAAAAATCAAATTGTCAACCTACATTACTTAAAAGTAGTAAATAATTATAATGAAAAACTGATTAAAAAATGTTAAAAGGTTATCAGTAGTTTACATATCGATCAACGCACCTCTAACATGGTAGTTTAAATTGTGAATTAAGTAAGTTGGGTTTAATTTTATCATATTTAAACAAATTATGTTTTTTTTTCAAGTTAACCCAACTTGAACCTAGGATAACTTAGATTGACTCATAGGTTTGAACCCATTTTGACACCTTTAAAACTTATACTAGTATGATGAGAAAATTTGTGAAGTAAAAAAATATAATTATATATAAAAAATAATGAAAATGGTGTAGTGATTTTAAACATTAACTAATGCTAATAATCACTCGATTATAATTTTAAAATATATTAGGTTTAATTTAATAACAGGTCAAAATGAACCATCAACTTTGTCATAATTTATTACTCTACTTCAATTTCTAATCAAAATAAAGGTGAAGTAGCTTGATTATTTGTTGGGAGATAGATAATTGCACTCTTCACAATATCATACAAAAATCATGCTATAAAGAAACAAAAGTAAACCAAAAAAAGGGTGAAGATAATGTAAACTCAAAAATACAAAAAAATGCATTTTCTGCATTCAAGCGAGGAAAATTTCTTACTTGTTCTTGATATGCAAAGTCTTATCACATACCTTAACTTTTACTCGTTAGAGTTCATTCTTGACACTTGGAAGAAAGGTAACCTGTGTATGAACTCATCAATTGATGGATCAAAATATAAAATAAACTATCCCTTTTCGTGTATTGATATACCAAAAGCATGCACCGATTGTGGAAAAAAAGTCACGAAGCTTTAAAAAGAGGATATTGTGCCCATTTGCAAAAGTTTTGGATGTATTAAACCTGAAATTTTATTATGAGAAAGGTGAACGATTCCATGATCAGTCACAATATAAACAAATAAAGGTAACCAAAATAGCAAAGAAATTATTAATGTAAACTATAAAAAAACAACAATGACCTAAATTTGTTGCATTTAGTGAAGGATAATTTCTTACAAAACATTGTTACTTCCCATAACGTTGGCTCATTAGAGTTCATTCTTGAAACTTGGATGAAAGATGAAATATGTCTTGGCTCATCACTTGATGGATGGAAACTTCATGGAAAGGCAAATCTAATGGCAATGTAAAACTAAAGAGTTTCTCAATCACTTGTTGCATTGATGGCCTCAAGTTTGGTTTGGAGCACAAACATGATAATCCTACATTTATCATAAGATTTACATCTTTAGCATCTTTCTCAAGAGGAAGAGGGAGACGTGAATCCAAGAGATCTTTCACCAACATATTTTGAGTTATTGGGTTTGATAAAGTTGAGATTAACTCTCTAGGATGTTTTCCCATTAATGTCTCCAAAGTCACTATCCCAAAACTATAAACATCACATTTTTCTGTCACAGTCAATGTATAAGCAAACTCTGTTGTGGACAAAGAAATGAAGAAAGTTAACTAACTTATCAAAATATATTATTACAACATTTATAAAAAATAGTGGTTTTGTAATAGAAAATGACATTCACCTGGGGCAATGTAGCCATAAGTGCCAACTACCAAGGTTTGATTTGAAGAATCAGGATCCAGGAGTCTAGCTGTACCAAAGTCTGAGACACAAGCCTCTAATTGTGAGTTTAATAGAACATTACTACTTGTTACATCTCGATGAACCATTGGTGTGGTACAATCATGATGCATGTAGCTTAAAGCTTGTGCCATCCCTTTAATGACATTTACCCTTTTACTCCAATTCAACTCATGAGCTTCCATATCGTTATTCAAAATATAAAATAAACTACCTCTTTCCATGTATTGATATATAAGAAACATGAATTGATTGTGGAGGCAAAAGCCATGAAGCTTTACAATGTTTCTATGACGAATTGCTGTTAACATTTTCACCTCATTGTGGAAACTTTTGTTGAAAGATGGATTTTGAGATTCCATTCGATGAAGCTTTTTTAATGCTACAACGTTACCACTGGGTAATTGTGCTCTATAAACACTACCATATCCGCCTGTCCCAATACAGTACTTGAGGTCAAAGTCTTCAGTTGCTTCAATGATATCCTCAAATGCAATTTTACCATCATAATTGAATATAGAAAACAAGTCTCCATTCTTTGTTGATATTCGTCCACAATTTTTCTTAGGAATACATCTTGAGAAATATATTAATGGAAGGAGTACAAAAAGATTGAAGAAAATTATAGGAAGAATAATTAACATGATCATGGGATTACTTTTTCTAGTTTGAGGATTCGTGTGGTTCAATAAGTGGCAATATGTGAAATTTAGCATGTGATTATCATCAATTAACGAGTCTTCCTTGAAAAAACAATAGTCTGGTACCTTCAATTTTGAGTCAAGGTCTTGTGAGAAGTCCAAGGAATTGTATGCAAGGTTTATGTATGATAGACTAGAAAGTTCCTTGTGTACTTTACCTGAAAGATTATTATAACTGAGATCCAATCGTCTAAGTTCGGAGCTCCATGTAAAAGGAGATGGAATCTCACCAACAAGAAAATTGTGACTAAGATTAAGGTCATTTACACAACCAATTTGAGAGGTTATATTTCCATTAAACAAGTTATGACTCAAATCAACTATTGTAGCAAAGGGACATCTCATTGTTTTTAATGGGATTGAACCACATAATTGATTGGACGAGAGATTTAAAGAGGACATTTTGTCCATTTGCAAAAGTTTGGGAGGTAATAAACCCGAAATTTTGTTATGAGATAGTTGCAAAGCTTCTAATTTGGACAAATTTCCTAAATGCTCGGGTATGTGACCTTCTAGTTGATTAGAATGAAGGCAGAGATGTACCAAGTTCTCCAATCGACCTAAAGTTGGAGGGATTGAACCTGCAATTAGATGAGAACAAGAAAGAGATTATTATATTCTCCTTTATTGACAGAATTAGTAAGGGATAACATAATCAAGAGAATTGCAATAAACTTACCTTGGAGACCATTGTTGGACAAATCAAGAGAGGTAAGGTATGTAAGAGAACCTATATCTGTGGGGATGGTTCCTCTAAGACCCATTCCAGATAGATGCAGAGAGACTAAATTGGGGAAGGCACTGACGTTCAACTTCTCAATCCAAAGCAATTCTTTTGATGAAGGAATCTTGATGGACCCACTGTCAATACTAGCAACACTTCTTAGAGTTTCATTGCAAAAGATACCCGGCCAATAACAATGATCTGAGATATTTCGGTAGTCTGAGATATTTAGGTAATCATTCCACCAACCACTGTGGAGCAAAGCCTGTCGTTCCTCAATGAGGGAAGGAGGCATGGCGCGACAAATCACAGATAATACCTCACTCATCATATAGAACGCCATAACTCTTCTCGATGGAAACATCCTTTCAAAATTCTTCCCAATCTTTTTCGGTGAAAAAATGGAAAACGCAGTTTTTCCAGAAAAATTATAGTAGGAATTGTTGAAGGGGTCCATATTTGTGGAAAGAGATGGAGAAAACTCTTGTGGTGTGCATTGCATGTGGAATCTGTATGAGAAAGAGCAGTGTTGACTCATAGACTTTCTGCCCCTTTCAGCAAGTTCATTCCATGCCTTCATTAAAACGTTGTCCTTTGTACATCTCTATTCACCAATGTGGATTGGATTCTGCTTCTGCTTCAGATCTTTTACTGTGGATTTTGGTTAAATATCACGAGATTGATAAATTTTGTTAATTTTTTTATTTTTACTTTTAAGCTGAATGATAAACGAAGTTATATTAAATTGATGGATTTGTTATTGTTTTATTTGTGTTCAAGAATTGGTCAGAGAAAATTGGATTGAGACCTGTGTCACAGACTATTCAAAATATTTCTCTAGAAAACAAAAACGCTTAAAAAAAGTCACATAACACTTCTAAAACATTCCATCACTGAATATTACAACACACATTTAAATTCGTAAATCTCAGGGAACCAAAGTTGGCTTGCATATAATGATTTTGTTTATTCTTTTACTGGTTCAGTAACCAATCTAACAAATTATACATGAATGGTTTATGGATTATGGTATGAGGGAGGACCAAGTGGCCAAAACACATACAAAAATTGGAAAGTAAAATTTAGTCCCACATGCATCGGGAAGTTTAATAATTTTGTATTGATCTAACTTCAAAGTTTTCGTAGCAAACTGCAGACAATTACAAAGGTTGGTTATTCCTTTACCAATTTTGTCAAGCTGGGCAAGGGTAAAGTCGTAGTATGATCCGAAACAACAATTACTACTTTAATCGTTAATCAAAATGTTAGTAAAGTAAAATGACATTTTTAAAGGTTAATTTAGGAAAATATCCTATTGCGAGGCTTGAAACAATGAGGCTAGTAGTTGTTGTGGCTATCTGGAGAATTGGAAAATATGCCAATTAGATGTGAAATCAACATTCCAAAATGGTCCTCTTGAAGAGTAATTATACGTGAGGTAGTCACCGGGTTTTGAAGTGAAAGGAGGAAGAGATGAAAGTGTACAGGTTAAGAAAGGCTTTATATGGCCTTAGGCAAGCACATTGGGCTTGGAATAGGCTCATTAACTCATTTCTTTGTGAGTAGGGATTTGTCAAGAGCAAGGTTGAATTTGGTATATGTAAAAGAAAATTCTCATCAGAAATTGTTAAAAGTGTGCCTCTATGTGGATGACCTGATTGAAACAGGTGAAACACAGGTTGATATTGAGCAATTTAAGGAGAAAATGATTTTAGTATTTGAGATGACCGATTTAGGTACACTGAGCTATTTCTTGGGACTGCAATTTGTGCACACTGACAGAGGCATTTTTCTGCATCAGAATAAATACATTCGCAAGGTCCTGAAGAAGTTCAACATGACAAATTGCAATGCAATTCCAGTACCAATAATTGCAAACTTAAAGTTGACTAAAGAATTGGGTGAGAAGGGAATGGATGCAACACTTTATAAACAATTAGTTGGATCTCTTAGATATATGTCTGCAATAACAGACTTGATATAGCTTTCGGAGTTGGTCTGCTCAGCAGGTTCGTGAATAATCCCAGAAAATCACACATGACAATTGTGTGTTCTCAACTGATATTTGCTTGGAATAATTGTATTAACTGATGTGAAACAATTTGGTAGGTCAGATATAATTTCTTGGTTGGTCAGATATAGTTGACATATAGTTGTTTGGTTGGAATAATTGTATTAACTGACATGCTGCAGTTGTACAAAGTTGCTGTTTTACATATATACTTGTAAAGACATGAGTGTAAAAAACCAGTGCAGTTGCTTGTAGATAATAAATCTGCAATCAGTTTATCCAAGAACCCAGTTTTGCTTGGTGTAAAACCCTCTATAATTAGCAATAATAATTCTGTGTCAAATCAAATTAATTCACACCACAATCAATGTTTAAATCCCCTTAAAAACCCACTCCCAACTCTGATTTCATCTCTGCTGTGCACGGAAAGCTGAGCCAAAAATCATTTCTCTGGAAACATTAAAAACGCACCAATCTTTGCATGCAAGCACGCCACGTGTCGCGGGAGAAGCTTCCAAAGCAGGGTTTGGTGTGCAGGTGGCAGGCTGGGAGACGCTCGTCCGTTTTGACGTGGAATTCCACAAAATCTGAGTTTTGAGAAACTCTCTCTCTCACTTGCACGCACTCTTCGTCTTCCCCAGAACCT